CTGCGCTGGGGGGGCTCGGCTGGGGCAGGACCATGTGGGGACGGTGGTGACGCTGGTGGGACCTGCTGGGGTCAGCGAAGAGGCTCTTTGGGGTTGGGTAAGGTGCTTTCAGGGCCGATAAGATGCTTTTGGGGTAAATAAGGTGCTTTTGGGATCGATAAGATGCTTTTGGAGTTGCTTAAGGGGCTTTTGGGGTTAGCCAAGATGGTCTTTGGCTTTAAGATGTTTCTTGAGGTTGGTTCAGTTCCTCTTTGGTGCTAATTAAGATGCTCTTTGGTGCTAATTAAGAAATTATTTGGGATTAGTTAAAATGCTCTTTGGGGTTAGTTAACATGCTCTTTGGGGTTAGTTAGGATGCTCTTTGCTAATTAAGGTGTTCTTTGGGGTTAGTGAAGATGCAATTTGGGGTTAGCAAAGATGCCTTTGGGGTTAGTGAAGATGCAATTTGGGGTTAGCAAAGATGCTCCTTGGTGATAATTAAGAGGTTCTTTGGGGTTAGCAAAGATGCTCCTTGGGGTTAAGGTGCTTTCTGGGGTTAGTGAAGATGGTCTTTGGGATTTGCAAAGATGTTCCTTGGTGCTAATTAAGGCACCGTCTGGGGTTAACAAAGATGCTCTTTGGGGTCAGCCACTGTGCTCTGGGGGTGAGGCAGACCCCTGTGTCCCCTGTGTGAGCCCCAGGCCCAGAGCAGCGGCTGAGAGCTGGGCAGGATGGGGTGCCCGGCATCCCCCCGCCTCGGGGCTGGCTGCCGCAGCCCCCCAATTCTTTCCCTCCGCCGCAGGGTCTCACCGGCCGCCCAGGTGACGCTGGTCCTCAAGGCAAAGTCGGCCCAACCGTAAGTGATGCTCCGCAGGGGGTTGCCGTGGGGTGGGGGACCGGGGTCCAGCGCGGTCCTCCCTGATGTCCCCCTCCCCACAGGGTGCTCCTGGCGAGGATGGTCGCCCCGGCCCCCCCGGCCCGCAGGGTGCTCGTGGCCAGCCTGGCGTGATGGGCTTCCCTGGTCCCAAAGGTGCTAACGTGAGTATTGACCAATTTCCACCCAAAACGGGGCTGCAGCCTTGGCACAGAGCCCATCACCATCGCCTCTCTCCTCTCTCTAGGGCGAGCCTGGAAAAGCCGGTGAGAAAGGCCTCCCTGGTGCCCCAGGGCTGCGGGTGAGTTGTTTTCCCTCCCTCACTGCCCCCCCCCCCAAAACACATCTTGGGGTTGCTCCAGCAGCACAATCCCCTGAGGCACCTGCAGACTCTGGGTGGGGAAACTGAGGCACGGGAGCCGGGAAGGTGGAGTGGGGTCTGCAGCATCGCGCCTGGAGCTCAGCAGTGGTTTTTCTCCTCCGTAGGGTCTTCCTGGCAAGGACGGTGAGACGGGAGCTGCTGGCCCCCCAGGACCTGCCGTGAGTGTTGCAGCCTTGTTCACCCGGGGCCAAAATCCACTTGAAATGGGGGGGTCGGGGGTTGTACCCCCCCAGATCTGTGCAAAGGACCACCCCAGGTCTGCTGGGGATGGAGCCTCTGTGCTCCCTGGCCCTCGTGGTGTTGGGGCTTTGGGATTTTGGGATCCCCCCATGATTCCAGCTTTGCCCAAAATCTTGGGGTGGGTGAAGCCCGAATACCGAGAGGTTTTGGGGTCCTTCACCACCGTCCTTCCCACAGGGTCCCGCGGGTGAGAGAGGAGAGCAAGGAGCCCCCGGTCCCTCTGGCTTCCAGGTGAGCACATAAAAGAGGGGGGGATTTGGGGTGCCAGGGTCGGGGTCATGCTCGTGGATGACCCTGAGCCCCTGTCCCCGGGGGTCTTGTTGCTGCCATGCTAACGCTGCTGCTTTCCCCTCCCAGGGGCTGCCCGGGCCACCAGGTCCCCCCGGAGAGAGCGGCAAACCCGGAGATCAGGTGAGGCCCCATTTTTCCCTCTTCCCAGGCATCTCCTGGCTGCAAAGTGGGGGCCAGGACCCCCAGCAGCCCCCAGGCCTGACCCCCAACTCTTTTTCCCCCCACTGCAGGGTGTTCCCGGAGAAGCCGGTGCCCCTGGTCTTGTTGGTCCCAGAGTAAGTATCACCTGTCCTCCTGGCTGGGGGGGACAGGATGCCTCTCCCTGTCACATGGGGGGTTTTGGGGGGCTGGAGGGGGTTGGCGGAGCCCAGCCACCCCCATCCAGGACCATCAGCTCCCCCAGTTCTGGTGGCTCAGCCTCCGCTGCAGCCCGTCCCCTCTCCTCCCAGTACATCCCAGTCCCTTCGGGGCAGTGCGGGATGGATGTTCTGCCCACTGTCCCCGAGGACATCCATGCAAAGGACATTGTGACCCTCACCGTGGCCTCTTCCTAACGTTGTGTGTCCCCCCCACCCCAGGGCGAACGTGGCTTCCCCGGTGAACGTGGCTCTCCTGGTGCACAAGGGCTGCAAGGTCCTCGTGGGCTCCCCGGCACACCGGGCACCGACGGACCCAAGGTGGGTGACAAGGGGGGACAGGGCTTGGTGGCTCGGTGCCGCTGGTGGTCTGCCCATGGGGGGCTTGGCACCCCAATAATTGCACCTTCGCTCTGCTTTAGGGTGCAACCGGACCGGCCGGCCCCAATGGTGCCCAGGGTCCCCCAGGGCTTCAGGGAATGCCCGGTGAGAGAGGAGCAGCCGGCATTGCCGGTCCCAAGGGAGACCGGGTAAGTGAGGGGTCCCGGAGGTGTCCTGAGCAGCGTCAGGTCTCAGCTCAGCTCACACCACCTCTGTCTCACCCTGCAGGGAGACGTCGGAGAGAAGGGTCCCGAGGGAGCCCCTGGAAAGGACGGCGCACGTGTAAGTGGGACAGGGACATGGCAGGAGCGGGGTGGCCAGCAAGGGATGCTCGTGGTGGCCTTGTCCTCATCTGTCTCTCGTCCTTAGGGTCTGACGGGTCCCATTGGTCCCCCCGGCCCCGCTGGCCCCAATGGCGAGAAGGTGAGAGCCCAGGCAGCCCCTCGGCTGCTTCCGACTGAGGGAGATGCCATCCACCCCCCCCCAACTCTCCATCCTTTCTTTTCCAGGGTGAATCTGGCCCTCCTGGTCCGTCTGGTGCTGCCGGTGCCCGTGGTGCCCCTGTAAGTGCCATCCCCCCACAGCCCCCCAGCTGCCACAGCTGGCCTCGCTCCCCCCATGTCCCCCCCCCCATTTAACCCCCATCTTTCACCCACAGGGCGAGCGTGGTGAACCCGGTGCCCCTGGTCCCGCCGGATTTGCTGGCCCCCCGGTGAGTATTTGGCCCCGTTCCCCCCGGCACGGATCCAGCATCGGCTCAACCCACTCACGGCAGCCGCTTCCCTGCAGGGTGCTGACGGGCAACCCGGTGCCAAAGGCGAACAAGGAGAGCCCGGGCAGAAGGGTGACGCCGGCGCTCCCGGTCCCCAAGGTCCCTCTGGCGCACCTGGCCCGCAGGTGGGTACAGCCGGAGCACCCCAAAACAGGGGGTGAACCCTGCGAGTGTCTGTATCCCCGGGAAATTTGGGGCGTCGCCTGGCAGGCATGTTGCAGCCCCCCCCGGCATGTTTTCTAACCTGTTTTCTTCCTCTTCCCAGGGTCCGACTGGTGTAACTGGTCCCAAAGGAGCCCGGGGTGCTCAGGGCCCCCCTGTGAGTATGGGGGCGGTGGGCTGTGGGATGGAGTGGCTGGGGGGAGTGCGGTGCAGCACCCGAGCCAACTTTCTCCTTTCCTTCCCCAGGGAGCCACTGGATTCCCCGGCGCCGCCGGCCGTGTGGGACCACCCGGCCCTAATGTGAGTTGGGGGGCAGCCGGAATCTCTTGGGGGCAGCTGGGATAGCTCAGGAGCAGCTGGGATTGCTTGGGAACAGCCAGGATTGCTCACCCCCGGGTTCAGGGGCTTGGGGGATGCTGGTTGCTCCATGCCGGCGGCCAAGCGGTGGAGCGTCCCTGAGCTAAATAACTGCTGGGTGATGCCAGGCAGCTCATGAGCCCATAAAAAGGTTTTTTTCTGAGGGTCTTTAAGTGCAGGAGCCCGCCCAGAGCCCCAGATGGTGCCAGGATGTGGGTGATGAAGGAGGAAAAGCTGCCTCCATTTGCCCTAACCCCATCTTCTCCCCCACAGGGTAACCCAGGCCCCCCCGGCCCCCCCGGCTCTGCTGGCAAAGATGGTCCCAAGGGTGCTCGTGGTGATGCCGGTCCCCCGGGCCGTGCTGGTGACCCCGGTCTCCAAGGCCCCGCCGGCCCCCCTGGCGAGAAAGGTGAACCCGGCGAGGACGGCCCCGCGGTACGTTTTTTGGGGGGCACCTCCCTCCACGCTCATTCGGTGCTGTCCCACCACCCCACTGGGTCTGATCCCCGCCTCTGCCTCCCCACAGGGTCCTGACGGTCCCCCCGGTCCCCAAGGTTTGGCAGGACAGCGTGGCATCGTCGGTCTTCCTGGACAGCGTGGAGAGAGAGGCTTCCCCGGGCTGCCGGGACCATCGGTGAGTCGTCACCCCCCCAGGCTCAGCCCTTTCCACCCACTCCATGCCCACTAGTGGCATTATCGCCCCTCCAAGAGCTGTCGGAGCAGCCGAGCTTGGCTTTCCCAAGCTCAGTACTGTGAATTCGGGTGCTTTGAAGCCTGCATGGCCCCTGGGGTGCAGCTTGAGTGCCCCAGGGACCCCAATCCCAGGTGCAGTTTGGGGTTTTGCAAAGGTACCAGGAGACGCTGGTGCCAGTGGCATCGGGACTGGGCAATAACCGATGCTTATTTGGGCAGAGGGGTCTGGCAGCCTTAAAATGAAGCAAGAGCTGGGTGAAGGGCTGCGCTGGGATCTCTCCCGCTCACGCGCGTTGTATCACAGCTTTTTTTTCCCTCCTTCATTTAGGGCGAACCTGGGAAACAAGGAGCACCCGGCTCTGCAGGCGACCGCGGCCCCCCTGGCCCTGTGGGTCCCCCCGGTCTGACGGGTCCTGCCGGTGAACCTGGGCGCGAGGTAGGCAGCACCCCAGCGCACGGGGAGGGGGCGAAGCGGGACGGTGCCTCCGTCCATGCCGGGCTCGGGATCACCCCAGTGTAACCCCAACGGTGGTGCCGGACATTGCCGATCCCGTGGCCGGAGAGCCCTGCACCATCACTCAGCTCCTGGCAATCACTGGCATCTTTTCACCAGTGGTTTTTGCTTTGAAAGGGGAGTTTGCACGTGTCCTGCCATCCCAGGGTCAAGACTTAATTTCTCCTCTTCTTCTCCCAGGGTAACCCTGGCTCTGACGGACCCCCGGGCAGGGACGGTGCAGCTGGCGTGAAGGTGAGCTTCCTGGTGCTCGCTATCCACATGCCCTCTCATCCCAGCCAAAAACCCCATGGGTCTGACCATCCCCTTGTCTCGGCACAGGGCGATCGTGGCGAGACCGGTCCTGTAGGTGCCCCTGGCGCTCCCGGTGCCCCCGGCGCTCCTGGCCCCGTCGGTCCCACCGGCAAACAAGGAGACAGAGGCGAGACGGTGAGTGCCGGCACGTTGGCGAGGAAAATGGCTTGTTGAGTTTGAGGTCCTATTAGGGGAGATGGGAATCACCCCGAGTGCAGATAAATGAAGAAATAGCAGTGGCCCCCCGGGACCAATTAGCTACTCCGAGTAATTGGGAGAGCCGGGCGGGTGCCGTTAGTGGCTGTTGCTAATTCAGTGGTGCCCTGAGTGCCATTAGCGGCTCTGAACATCTTCCCAAGGATTCATGAGCACCAAGAGCCCAGTTCGGGCTCTGCCTACACACAAGCACTGCCTGGGGAGCTGTAAGCACCAGGAGGCTTAACCAGGGAAAATCTGCCAGGGTATTTATTTGCAAGGGTCGTTACTCGGCTCTGATGCTCCAGCTGAGAGTATTTAAAGATGCCGTTCGGCACCAGCAGCTGCTGATTCCTGGTGCTGTGAGCAGGGCAGCCCGCAGGGCTGGTTCGGATACCCCCAAAGGCACAGGACACCTCCTGGCACCCCGTGTTCCTGGCCCCTTTTGACTCCCCTCTTCTCTTTCCCTAGGGTGCACAAGGTCCCATGGGTCCCTCCGGTCCTGCTGGTGCTCGAGGCATGCCGGTGAGTGGTGCTGGGCCCGTCAGGGCATCCCATGTGTGATGCACGGGGTCCTGGGGCACGTTGGGCAGGGGTCTGCCACCCTAAGCCTGACACGTCCCCTTCTCCCCTTCCAGGGTCCCCAAGGGCCTCGCGGTGACAAGGGTGAGACGGGAGAGGCTGGAGAGAGAGGACTGAAGGGCCACCGCGGCTTCACCGGGCTGCAGGGTCTTCCCGGACCACCCGTAAGTGTTGTTTTTGGGATCCCCAGCACTCAGGCCCCCCCATATCTTGCCGCGGAGCTGGATGCGGCTCCTTCAGGGTGGCTGCAGCCACGGGCAGAGCCCCAAGCCTGTGCAAAGGCTTTGCTAGGGCTGAGCATCCCCCGATGCCAGATGCAGAGCTGTAACCATCCACCCTCGCTTCCTCCTCAGGGTCCTTCTGGAGACCAAGGTGCTGCTGGTCCTGCGGGTCCCTCCGGTCCCAGGGTAAGTCCTGCCTGTGGCATTTGGGGCGATGCGAGGAAAAGGAGGCATCTCTGTCCTTGAGCCCCCCAGGTCGCCTGCCTCGCTTGCTGACGGCAGGAGCTAACAGCTCCCCAGCACCTTCCCTGCCTTCTTGCAATGAGCTGACCCCCACCTTTGGGGATTTCTCCTAGGGTCCCCCCGGCCCCGTCGGCCCCTCTGGCAAAGACGGCTCCAATGGCATGCCCGGCCCCATCGGTCCCCCCGGCCCCCGCGGGCGAAGTGGCGAACCAGGTCCTGCGGTGAGTAAAAATGCCGTCAATGGCAGGGAAGGGGAGTCCAGCTTGCAGAGCAGCCCATCAGGATTGCATCTTCTTCCTCCTGTAGGGTCCTCCCGGAAACCCAGGTCCCCCCGGTCCTCCTGGCCCCCCCGGCACTGGCATCGACATGTCAGCTTTTGCTGGCCTGGGTCAGCCAGAGAAGGGTCCCGATCCCATCCGCTACATGCGGGCGGACGAGGCCGCTGGCAGCCTGCGGCAGCACGATGTCGAGGTGGACGCCACGCTCAAGTCCCTCAACAACCAGATCGAGAGCATCCGCAGCCCCGAGGGCTCCAAGAAGAACCCGGCTAGGACCTGCCGTGACATCAAGCTTTGCCATCCCGAGTGGAAGAGCGGTAAGAGCCTCCATCCCTGCCTCCTCCCCTCCTGCCTCTCTCCCCCAGCCTCTTGCACCCAAGAGGACAGCGAGGTCCATGGTGCTCTTTGCTCTGACCTCCAAAACCTCATGTTCACACACCATTTGTCCTCCCCGCTGCAGGAGACTACTGGATCGACCCGAACCAGGGCTGCACCTTGGACGCCATCAAAGTTTTCTGCAACATGGAGACGGGCGAGACCTGCGTCTACCCCAACCCCAGCAGCATCCCCAAGAAGAACTGGTGGACCAGCAAGACCAAAGACAAGAAGCATGTCTGGTTCGCAGAGACCATTAATGGCGGTTTCCACGTAAGTGTCCCCCTGGGCTGGTACCGCACGCTGGGAGTGGGAAGGGAGGTTGAGCAGTGGAAGGTGTTGGGTGTCTGGTTGGAGGATTGGGTTGTCCTTCCTTGGGGTTACGTTGACGGACGTTATACGAGGGACTGGCTGTTCTAGAGAGCTATACTGAAAGCTTGGTGTTGGGTCAGTTGGGCTTTGATTTTTGCAGCCATCTGGGAACACAAAGCATGGAAGTCTCCTCAGAAGGTGGCTGAAAATAGGGCTGTTGCGACAACCACAGGCTTTAATGTCTCACCTCTTCCCTCCAGTTTAGTTATGGCGATGAAGACCTGGCTCCCAACACTGCCAACATCCAGATGACCTTCCTCCGTCTCCTGTCCACTGAAGGCTCCCAGAACGTCACTTACCACTGCAAGAACAGCATTGCCTACATGGATGAGGAGACAGGCAACCTGAAGAAAGCCATCCTCATCCAGGGGTCCAACGATGTAGAGATCAGAGCTGAGGGCAACAGCAGGTTCACATACAGCGTCTTGGAGGATGGTTGCACGGTAAGTCCATGGGTGCCTGCGAGAGAAAGACGTAGATGATGAGTTTGGGTTCAACCGGTGAGGTTGCTGTTGATTTGGAGGGCTCGAGCATCTAATAACATCCTTCCTCCTTGTTTTCTCCCCAGAAACACACTGGCAAATGGGGCAAGACAGTCATTGAGTACCGATCGCAGAAGACCTCGCGCCTGCCCATTGTAGATATTGCACCTATGGACATTGGTGGAGCCGATCAGGAGTTTGGCGTGGATATTGGCCCAGTCTGCTTCTTGTAAAAAGAATTGTTTTATTTGTGTGTTTGTTGTTGTTGTTGTTTGTTGTTTGTTTGTTGTTTTTTTTTTTTAAATCCAGCCCAATACCATAAAAGAAAACTAAAAAAAACCCCAAACCCACCCCAAGGACCTGAGTACTTTCCAATCGCTCGTACGACTTCTGCACTGAATGGCTGCAACGACCCCTCGATTCATGCCCTTCCGTTGGGGACCACCGCCTCTTTCCAACGCCGTCTGGGCAGGCTGCAAAATAAAAAAACCACGGTCTTATTTATTTATTCTCTTCCTGTAAGACCTATTTTTTAGGTCGGGTGGAGGTGGGAATCTAACTGACAGGTATGACGGCCCTTCCCTGCAAAAGGGATCTCGCAAATCCAGGTATTACAAATCCCCTCCCGCTCCCATTCCTCCCTGTGTATCACCAGCAGGAGTGCTAATGTATAATACAACAAAAAAAATGGTGCTATTCTTGTAAAACAAGTCTGTATTTTTTAACATCAGTTGATATAAAAAAAAAAAAAACTTTTGGTGGAAAGTACAAGTCGATCTGGGCTTTGTTTTTGTCGCTCTCCGGAGGTGTTTGCTGTGGTCTAACTCCTTTCTCCCCATTCCTCAGCCATGATAAATGAAGGTTTTGGGTCAAATCTCCAACTTTTCTGGGTTGAAGCTACCTCACATAAGGGGAAAAAACTCCAAAACAAATAAACCCTCCAAAAAGCCAAAAAAAAGAAATGGGGAAACCATTTAAAGTGAAAAATCTTGAAACCAGGAGCCAACACAGCAGCCGCAAGGTTTCTGTTAAGGGATCTCTTGTCCCATTGCACCCCTAAACAGAACCAGTGTGACTCAAGGCAAGCGCTTGGGACACCAGTTAAAGGAAACCAGTAAAACCAGCAGGGAGGGGGACACTGAGACCAATCCTCATGCAAATCAGTATGACCATGGCCAGGGGCTGCCCTCTAACTCTCCTCCCCATGGAATTTGTCCCATTTTGTGCATGTAAAAATATAATTTCAGGATGCATTTTGCAATACTGAAGGAGGTAGGGTTTGCAGCCGTCATGTGCACACGCTGATGTCTTCTTATAAAGCAGCTGTGCCTTTATGGTTTCATAAAAAGTTACATATGTAAATTCTTCTCTTGAACAGGCTTGCTAATGAGAGGAAAAGCCTCAGTAGTTGATTTTTATTTTTTTTTTTTACTATCTTAAAGAAAATTAGCCCACTGACCCCACAAGAGTTACAAACATGCTTGAGCTTTATGTGCAGGACGTAACAGGCAGCTGTTGACTGCGGAGTTTATGAGTTTCATGACAGTGCTTTTGTTAAAACCTCAGCTTTTTGCATCCGTTGATAGCATGGACACTGCAGTTTTTCATTAAGAGAAATTACAACTTTAAAGGATTAAAAAAACCCTTTTAAAAATGTTACTTTGGGGCCCTCATCTCAATTTTAAACACTCACAGCTGGCAACACAGCAGCAACCAGCTCCTGCTAAAGCACCTGAGGCAGCCTCTGCAGGGCTGGGATCTTTAAAAAACATTGGCAGAAGAAATTCATTAAAAAGGATTGGAGGATTAAGAAGGATTTTCAAAATAAAATGCCCTTTAAAAGGCCAAGTGCTTTGCCACATGACCCAGAGAGCACCCCTAATTATTGGTGCTCTGGCTCACCGCTGCCTGCTGTCACACAACTAAATTCAGGGCAAAGCCATTCTCCTGTTCAGCTGAGCAGCAGGTTTAGGCTTCCTAAACCCTAGGTTTTCCACTCCAAAATCACCCAGGTAAAAGTAACCCCCAGCAGCAGGCTGCTTTTAAGACTTGGCCATGAGGAGCAGGAGATCCTGGGTTATCTCTGGGGCTGCAAAGACAATGACACAGGTGGGAAAGGCAATACTGGGGAGCAGGAGGCTGTGTCACCCCACGAGAAACCAAATCAGCCAGGACTAAGCACCATCAGGCTGCTGAAGGGGACAAAGCTCAGGAAATGAGATGGATAGAGAGCAAAGTTTGTGACTTCCTCATCTTCCTTAAAAAAGAAAGTTTGACTCATCATAAATCAGGGGTTTAACAAAAGTCATGTGAGAAGCTCGTGATCAAGATCACCAGGGACCATGCAGCATGACAGCCACCGAAGCTGGGGCAGTGACTCTGGTCACTGGTCCCAGCTGCCCTGGGTGGGAGTGGAGGTGCTTCGCTGCTCCCTGGTTGAGTTTCTTGGCCCTCATTCCCCAAAAACCATCAGCAAGAGGACATGTGCTTCTGGGCAAAAGATGACACAATACCAGTCACAACACAGAGCAGTAGCTCTAGGACAAAGTTTGATTTGCACAGGAGAAACCCAGAGCTTTTCTTCAAACAGAGGACACCACACAGTAACATACAACCCGGCTTTAATGAGTAGAATTCAGTTCTAGAAACCCCACTAGGCAGAAATGCCACTTCTTAAAAAAGCAAGGTGTGTTTTTGTTTCACACTTGTAACAAAATAAAGCATCCTTCATTGAAAAACACCACGATCCATTCACCTTGCAGCCTTTACCTGTGCTTTCTTTCCACTCACACGACCTCACATCCAACAGGCAGCCAGGGAAAGGGGTAGGTGCAGGCAGAGAGGAAATGAGGGCAGCTGTAGCAATCAAGTTCCAGAAAAACTACAAAGGGCAGAAGCAAAATTAAATCCTCCAAGCTGCAAACAGTACAAGTCCACAGTGAGAGCTGCGGCAGGCTGAGCTTTCACATTTACTTGCTTTAAGAACACAGTTGATACGATCTGTCGGGAACGATGGGCTCCTGGGAGGTAAGATTTGAGACACCAAACTCCCACAAAAATCAGTTTAAATCCGCACTTGTTTGCGGCAAGCAGAAGTACAAAGCAACACCGAGCTACAAGTTCCCTGGTTTCAAACCCCAGAGACCCTGCAGCTGCAAACGTGGGGAGAGGAAGGTTCAGAGCTGTGCGTGGAGGAGGAGGAAGGTCAAATTTGCACGGAGCCTTCACACGTCCCCAGCAGCGCTGTGCTTACTGAAGCCACCTTCATTAAGACTGTGATGTTTTGGTATTGGTTTGCTGTAGGTGGCCTCAGCTGCCAGCAAACAAAATCTGCACTACAGAGAAAGCATGTTTCAAAGGTTTTGATTCCTTTGCCTCCTTCTAGTGCAAGTTGGAGGTGGAAGACTTATCTGTGTGTTCTTTACAAGAACTATCCCTTTTTATCAAGATCTGCTTTGAAACAAACCAGTGACATGCTGCCACTGAACAAAAGTGGAATAAATTAATTGCACGGAACTAATTAATTTACCCTGAAAGAATCCGACACAGTGCAAAGCTTCAAAACAGCTGCAAAAAAGTCAACTCTAAATCTTTGGGATCTTCAGACCCCAAAGCATGAAGCTTGAGAGTCCAGTTTCCCTACTGAAAACTAGTTCTTCGGAACCAAAGAGGAAGGCAGGCCCAGCAGCACCCTGACTTTGGGAAGGGACCTGTTGGCTTGCACATGAACACCACCCCAAGCAGGTTTCATGGACAGGACAGCAGTGCAGCCCAGCTGCACGTGGAAGAGCACGAAAAGGACCCAGAGCTTTCAAATATCTCCCACCAAAGTCACTTGTGATCCCTCTGCTTCTATTTGAAAGCTCCTGATCCCTTCTACAAATCCATCTGCACAATCATCCACCCACAGAAAACATCAGCTGTGCCCCCAGGGCTTGCTCTTGGCTTTGGCTGCATCTCATATCAAGGGGGAAAGCAGAGGCAGCGGGTCCTGGGCAGCTGTGGAGTTGGTACTGCAATCCACGTAGTGGTACGTTTCCAAAGCGCTCTGCGTCACGTGGCCGATGTAAGAGAGCTTCACTGATGTCCTGAAGGGGTGGGGAAGAGCAGTTTAGTGGAGACAGGACCTGCAACAGCAACCCCTCTATCAAAATAAAAAACCCCAGCAGGTTTTACACTCATCACATAACTCCTCCTCCCCCTCGAAAGCTGCAGATCCTCTCAGATTTTTGCTCAAGATCACTCACTGCAGCAGGCAGGGATATGCAGAGCTGGCAATTGCAGCCTCTGGAGCACACCACCCCTCACATGAAAGCTCAGCGTGGAGCAATCTGGTGTCTTCTCCTCTCTATCTTACATTTCACCCAACTGTGTCAACTGTCCTGGATTAAAAGCTGACACAGTGAACCAGGCTGGGGTGCTTGCCAAGCGGGATTTTCTTCGTGTACCCTAGATTTGCTGTGGCAGCAATTCCCTTTTGAGTCAGGAGCTGAGCAGAGAACCACCTACCTCATGAAGATCACTATGTTATGTACCTTCACCTTGGGAAATGTGCAAAAGAAACTGGAAGAGACCAAAACAAAGAAATATGTCAGCACGGGCTAAGCAGGGTTGCAGAGACACTTGCGTTTCTCGGTATCTTCTGATAATGTTTTCTCTTTGGTGCTAACTCAACTCGAGACATGGTCCAAAAACCATGTCACAACATTCCGACAAAGTGGCCTTTCAAGTCATTTCTAGCAAACAGTTACTTTCCAGGAAGTTAGCAGAAAACAAGTCATTTCCAGAGCCAATTCTAATTAAAGCAGCTTAAATCTGTCCTCTTTCCCAGCTATATACAAAGAGTAGTAAATCCTTACTACACATAGGAGAAGGGTCCACCCAGCTCTGCCTTCACAGTGAAATTCACCTGCAGAAGATAAAAGAAAAATACATTCACATGCAGCTTGAGTACTTTTGCTTAAATCCACCCCTTTCAGAGTCTTCCCTACTTGCTGTTGCAAGCTGGCATGCATAAAGCACAGGCTACTCTAGCCATAAGACTATTTTGCCAAGCAAAGCTTTAAGGTATGGATAGACTATCATCAAGTTAACGTGCAGTGGTGCACAGGTTTCAAACTTGATTTGGTGATGCTTATACTTTAAGTGCAGTGAAAGATGAATACCAGTTTGTCACTCAGTGGCTGGATGCTGGAGACATTGGTGATCTGCTGGGTTCCCACCACAGTGTTCATGTACTGCACCTGACTAGTCAGGCTGGGCACCGTCACCGAGTAGAAGTTGGAGTTCCTGATCCGTAAGGTGGCCTGGATGGAGAGAGTGGGCAGACACGAGTAGCAGCAACCTTCCTGGCAGCTCAGCACAAAATTTATTCCCTCAGGAACACAGGTGCACAAAAAATTTACCGTGATGGCAAGAATGACAACGGAGTTCTTCTTGTCGAACCAAACCTGAACCACTTTAATACCGTCGTCATCCACCAGGACAGAGTGAGGGAATAGGAAGAAAACCACCAGCCCTGATATCAGCAGGCAGAGCAGCACCGACAGCAGGACATACAGCTTCCTGGAAGAGGCAGAGAAGGGGTCACCTCCTTTGCCCTAATACAGCATCTGCAGCTGCAAGAGACCTTGTATCTGAAACCCAACCTAGCCAGTAGACAACACATATTTGTTCTTCCCTGGAAGAGACACAGAAGTGCTGCTCTAACATTTTCGATATCTGAAATTGCTCAAAACCGTCACCCTTTAAACGGTTTATTTTTCAGTAATGAGTAACCAGAGAATCATATTTGCCCCCATAGTGTTTTCACAATCTAGTATTTTTGCTGTTGGTAAGACAGTTTCTGTCTAAGAGCTTCAGTAAAGGGCGCCAGGATGAAGCGTGTGAGTAGGATCATTGTTTCCACGTTCACCCCACAGTGGGATTTCACAGGAAGTATTTAAAGTTACACTTTAAATTGTGTTTGTTGGCATACTTGGATGAAAACAAACCACTAGATGATGGAGAGACCGCAGACCGGGTGAAGCATTTAGTTGTGGCAGTAAACAACAGAAGAGCCCTGTTTGCTCTTTGCAAAGATGTAATTACTTTCTTACTATACACTTACGTTCTCTGTGGACGAAGACGTTGGTCGCTGTAGGGTATCAGAGCCACCAACTCATTTACCTGCTCTGGAAAGCAAAAGGAAGATGTTAACCAATTCCACATGTGTGCAAGGTTGCTCATGCAAATAAGCAATATTTTCTTCTTGTGTTTAAGCCTGAGAGGAGCAGTCACCTGTGGGAATGCAGCCAGTGCCTTGGCAAGTAGGACAGGTGATGCTATCCTGACCTGTGAATTCAACATATGGAAACTTGGCAATGTCTTCCACACGGTCTTGGCTATCGAGTAAGTCTTCATCGTCATCCTCAGCCTTCTTCCTCTGCCTTGAGGTAGCATTATTAACAGAGAAGGAAAGCACAGAACCCATTGCAGCTGCTGTAGAAAAGCTGCATAACCTATAACACAGGCAGCAAGAGCAGTCCTGATCATTAAACGGGTTTTCAACCTGTTTCTAGCCAACAAGGAAACCCTACGTAGAGACCCACCCCCAACACCCCCTAGAGAAATACCCCCACACAGAGACACCCTCCCGGGGGGGGTCCAACACCCACCCTAGAGAGCCTCACCCCACAGGGATGACTTCCACAGCACCCAACAAAAAGAGACACCCTACTTCGGGATACCACAGTAGGGGCTCATTCCCACACAGCCCCTCAAAACAGAAACACCTGCTACAGACACCCCCCC